CCTGTACGCAAGTTTATAAGGTTGAAACACCCGTAGCTGAGGAAAACACATATAGCCAAACACCCTTAAATGATCATACGTAGGAGGCTTTCCAAAAAGTTTCTCAAATGGTGTATAGCCTTGAAGTACCTTAGTTGGCAACCTATTAATTAAGTGAGCTACCGTTACAACTGCAAATGACCAGTACTTCAAGGGTAAAGATGCTCAAGCTAGTAAAGTCAATGTCATCTCAAACAAATGCCTATGTTTCCTTTCAACCACCCCATTCTGTTGGGATGTATGAGGACACGTCACGTGATGATGAACCCTACATTGTGCAAGCACGGTTGACAGAGACTGATACTCACCTATCTAATCACTATGCACTGTTTTCACCTCCTTACCGAATTGAGTTCAAACTAGCCTCTAGAACAAGTGAAGTGCTTGGACAGTCTGCCCTTTGTTTTTCAGCAAATACACCCAATTATGCCTTGAAAAGGCATCTACAAATGATACATAATACCTAAATCCGTTTGACACAATGTGTCCAGGACCCCATAGATCGATAAACACCAACTGGAACGGTTGTTCATATCGAGTTTCAGACGCATAAAATGGCAGCTTGTGGCTTTTTCTCATATGACACGAAACATATACTGGAATCAACTGTTTATTTAAACTGCTTGGCAAGATGATATTACATTGTTTGCAAACTTGCAACAAAACTTTATAGGATAGATGACCTAATCGATCATGCCATAGTACATAGTTATTACTAGAATTAAAGACTACGTTTGCTTCAGCAGCTTGACTCCAAGTACACCACCGAACTCATACAAGCCATCTGTTTCTCTACCTCGTAGCAACACATCACCAGTCCTTTCATCTCGAACCACATAGTGATCAGCATGAAATTCCAGGAATACTCAATTATCCCTACCAAGCTTGGAATCTGGTACCAATTTCTTAGTTATTGAAGGTACATGCAACAAGTCACTCAACATTAAAGCACGAGATATAGTAAAAACAGAAGCTCGACCAATTTTATTAATGCACAGACCACTACCATTGCCTACAGTAAGCTTACCAGCTCATGTATAATCTGAGACATCCATAACTTTTGTGGCATCAGGCGTGATATGGTGAGTGGCTCCTGAATTCACAAACCATGAGGAATGTGACGAACTCGTGGTAGCCACATTTACAACAGGCTTAAACCGTTCTTGATCATTTACCCCAGCTGCACTCACATTCATCTTGCTTCTACACACACAGTTGTTGGAGTTGTAATGACAAACATTAGCCGTAGGCATTCGATCCTTAAATGAGTTCCTCACATCAGACTCGTCTACACTTGATAACGATTTATCGAACCTGTACCAGCACCAATTAATAAGGTGACCATTCTTGCCACATAACTGGCACTGCACCACCGGATCAACAACATCTGATACCATGTTGAAGTTTATACACAAGAATCTTGAAGTTTATCAAGAAGATACAAAAGTGTATTATTAACCAAGGATATGCAGTACATTTATACACAAGCTTACAACCTTAACAACCTTATAACAGCTTCTGACTACTCTAACTAATCTAACAAATTGCACATTAATTGCTTACATGTACTCACACTCCAAGCCATACTGCACACAAGCACATATGCACATATGCATGCAGTCATGCTTCAACAGTTATCATTGAACAGATATTGTATTGTACTAATCCTAGATTAATAAAAAAAAGCATATCATTATGTATATCGTATCATATTAATATATATTATATATTAATAATTATATGATATCTTATATTTTTTAACCATTTTATTAACAAAGAATATAATTGATAAACATCGATAATTTAGAGATAAAATTAGAAAGGAAAGGTTTATAAATCAAAATTTGGGATGAAATTAGAAAATTTGAAAAAATCAACTTAAAATGAGAGTCGTAATTTGAAAATGTGTAGTGCAATTAATTTTAAATCTGTTTTATTTAAACTTTTTTTTATCATTCAACTCTTAAAAACATTAAGATATTTTCTGTTAAAATTGAAATTAAAAATATTTGTATTTACTTTTAACATTATACTTTTTTATTATATTTTTTTAATTAAACTTTAGATTCCCCAAATCTTTCATTAACTTATATCATTTTCATCTATTAGTACTATACCAATTTAGATTTCTTCACAAACTCTTTAAAACTCATAAATCCAACAAAAGATCATCATTGCTAGAGTTTGAAGGATTTAATTGTTTGTTCAAAAATTCGAACAGTGAAAAACATTCTTTTCGTAAAAACGAGAGATATTTATAGAAAATAGTCTCATTGGAGGGTAGTCAGAGTATATTTAAACATTATAAAGTTAATGATTTAAATAAATCTTTATCAATTTTGAATGATTTTTATTGAAAACCAAATCAAAGAAAAGAAAAAAAAATAATATCAATTTTTTTTAAAGTGATAATTAATAACAAATGATAATAAATAAATCACGACAATCAAAATATTTTAAGATTTATTTTTTAAAAATTAATAGCATGTTACATCATTATATCATTAATAACTTAATAATGAAATAAATTAAATAAAATAATTTAATGATCAAAATCATATAAAATCTAAATTTTGCTAAAAGGGTATTATACCCAAAAAAAATCAACAAAACATGTACAACAGCTAGGCCTATAAATGAACTGAACGTTCAACAAACCGTTCATAAACCGTGCGGTGGGAAGTTCGTTTATGTTCGTTTATTTATTAAATGAACGAACATGAACAAGATTTTGTGTTCGTTTAATTAAATGAACAAACACGAACAAATAGCTCGTTCGTTCATTTACGTTCGTGAACGTTCGATTATATGTTTGTTTATGTTCGTTCATTTATGTTCATTTATGTTCGTTCATTTATGTTCGAACAGAGGACAAGTTGAATATGTTACGAAGATTATTGAAGTTGATTGGATTTTAAGAAGATTGTTTTGTTGAACAAATTAACTTTAAGACTTTATTATGTTCATATAGCTTATTTATGATTTATGTATGTTTTTGTCGTATTCGAACAAATTAACTCTAAAGTTGCAGGTTATATTAATGAATTTTAAGTTGTTATTCTTGTTGTTTACTTTTTTTTACATTCGTTTGTTGTGTTCGAATAAGTTTTATTTTTGTGTTTGTGTTGTTCGTTTATTGTGTTCGTTTATGTTTGTTCGTTCGTGTTCGTTTATTATTTAAATGAACGAACATGAACAAGCTATATTTCTTAATGAACGAACACGAACAAAAATTTTTTTGTTCATTTATATTCGTTTATTTATTAAATGAACAAACATGAACATACCTCCGTTCGTGTGCGTTCAATTCATTTACAGGCCTAGCCGCAGCCCCCACTTATTTTTTTTAAAGAATCTTGCCATTGAAATTAATTTAGGATCAACTAAATCAGTGGTCATCAAATTATTACTTATTTTATAGTTTGGTCATTGAACTATTTTCTTAATAAAATCATCACTAATATTGTATATATTATTATTATCACTGATTGTTAAAAATAGCGATACTGACATTTATTTAATTATTTTTCAGGTTATTTTTCTCTTCTCATTAGTAAAACATGTGTATTTTTATTTTTATAATTTTCTTTGAACCAATAAGATGATGACTAAAGAAAAAAGATTAAATTGTTAGGAAGCAGTGATAGATCCACCAAGGTACGAGGGTAGGTACGTGTATATCTTGAAATTCAAATTTTATTCAAGTAAATACCTATTTGATTGATTATGTACACCTTTAAATTTTATTGTTATTAACATATGTGTATGTCCATCCTAAAATGTATCTATGAATTCGCGACTATAGAAAGAGACGCTAAATCCGCTTAACTTAACCACTTAATTAAACTAAAAAATTACTAATGTTATATTAAAATTTATATTTAAATTGATTACACAAAAAATATAACTTTAAATATAAATTTTGATAAAACTCACCCTACTGATCAATAATATCAGTTATGTGATTGGATAAGATAATAGCATATTCCTTCTCACTTCATTCATTTATTTTTATACAATGGTGACATATACGATTAATTTATTAGTTTTGATATATTTTCGGTGGTAATTTATTAAAATTGTCATATTTCTGTCAGCAAAGATCTTCGGAATGATTCATCGTTTATCGAAGCCTCCAAAAGGTTTGTTTTCTTTAAGTAAAGGTCTTCAAATCAATTATAGTGTTTAGACAATATTTCTGCTATATTTAATATCTAACGTCTAGATCCATTTAGTCTATTGACATACAAATAGTTATAATGACTCTATGCCTAACATAACCACTTAAGAAAATTATGAATACCTCTCAATATAATCGAGAGAAAGGTTAGCATCTCGATGAACCCGATACAATCTTCTTCTCCTTCCACTTCACTCTCATGAGAAACATCGATCAACTATTGTTCTCATATCAACCACAACTCTATTCAAATTAAAATGGGTGAACAGTCAATAGTTAACGAGAGAAACTTACTCCAATTGATAAATATAAATAAAATCGTTAGAAAATAACACGCAAACTGCTAATTAGGAGAGAGAAAATGGCGTAGAAAATGTTAAAAAGAAACAAATCAACAATACTACTGATGATTTTGCAAAACAAAACATTTTAGTGACCAAAGTAAAAAGTAGATAATAATGTGATGAGTAATGGTATAGTTTACCCACTAGTTTATTAACAGAAAAATCGAAACGATAGGGAGCTAAAGGGTGGTGCTAGCAGAACATAGAAAACATTGGCGGCACCACTGGTTTAGCCACCCTGGTCAACAAATGACTGGAACCGCAAGTCCCACGTATGCCTATCTCTCACAGCCCGCAGTTGATTTGGTTAAACTAATCCATAATTTCGTGGCCTCCAACTCCAACCCTACTCACCCTTACCATATATACAATATCCATGGGTTCGTCACCGTTTATCTTCTTATTTAAACCCATCATTCGCCACATTCATCACCATCCCTTTTCCATTTCAATATCCCTTTCTTTCACTCTTCCTTTCATCCCCATTCTTATTTCGCCATGGCAGGAACTGGGGTGGTTGCTGTTTATGGGAACGGCCAAATGACGGAGACCCACAAATCCCCTTACTCCGTTAAGGTCGGGCTGGCGCAGATGCTCCGTGGCGGCGTGATTATGGACGTCGTCAACGCCGAACAAGCTCGTATCGCTGAAGAAGCCGGCGCCTGCGCCGTCATGGCTCTCGAGCGTGTCCCTGCCGACATCCGTGCCCAAGGCGGTGTGGCGAGGATGAGTGACCCACAACTCATTAAGGAAATCAAGCAGGCTGTTACTATCCCCGTTATGGCCAAGGCTCGTATTGGTCATTTCGTTGAGGCCCAGATCCTCGAAGCCATCGGGATTGATTATGTTGATGAGAGCGAGGTTCTGACCCTGGCTGACGAAGAGAATCACATTAACAAACATAATTTCCGGATTCCTTTCGTTTGTGGGTGCCGGAATTTGGGTGAAGCGCTCCGGAGAATACGTGAAGGAGCCGCCATGATTCGAACCAAAGGAGAAGCCGGGACCGGCAATATTGTCGAAGCCGTTAGGCACGTCAGATCCGTGATGGGGGATATTAGAGCTCTTAGGAGCATGGATGACGATGAGGTTTTCACCTTCGCTAAGAAAATCCAATCTCCCTACGATTTAGTTATGCAGACGAAACAGCTTGGGAGGTTGCCGGTGGTGCAGTTCGCCGCCGGTGGAGTGGCGACGCCAGCTGATGCGGCGTTGATGATGCAGTTGGGCTGCGACGGAGTGTTCGTTGGCTCTGGGGTTTTCAAGAGCGGTGACCCGGCTAAACGTGCCCGGGCCATTGTTCAGGCCGTCACTCATTACAGTGACCCGAACGTGCTTTCTGATGTTAGCTGTGGGCTCGGTGAGGCTATGGTCGGTCTTAATTTGACTGATAAGAAGGTCGAGCGGTTCGCAGCTCGGTCCGATTAGTTATCAAAGGCGAGCAACTTCACTATAATTATATTTCTTCTTATTTTAGCATTCAAGCATGATATCTTGATAATATATCTATTGTATTTGATGTTCACCATAGCTTAGAATGATTCTCCATGAACTATTAAAAGGTTGGAAATGAGTTCTTGAGACTTAATGGGATCCCCTGTTTTTGTTTTCGAGTATTGTTCAAGCATTCATGGATTCATATCGATTCGATTGATCGAATACTCATTATCATTCAAATCGAGTGTGTGACATTAAAGTTCGAGTCTCGTTTAATGGATGATCCGTATCATTTTCAACTTCGAAACCGGTGTTGATTATGTTAGTGTTGGTTCTATTCATATTGCAACAATGTTTAGAGCATTGAACTCACTGTGGAGGGTTTAATGATGGTCTTTTTGCAGGAATCCTTTGGTGGACCAACCATCATCATCTTCATCAAGTGCTCTTCTTCCGGTTTATCATATTTTAAGTGCAGTCTCTCATACGGTGGGGATGTAATGTTCATCACCGGCTGTTACTAGAATTTGATCTTCTTAAGATTGCTAGGAACAAAACATCTTGTTTCTGAATTTCTGCAACCATACTAATGTATTTTTCTCATCGATTAGGCTCTATAGAAACTTTTACCTGCAGTTTCACTTGGTATTGCCTTTTTGGTTGCATGTATGCCATTGAATATGCTCTCATGAAATGTTCCATATCTTTGGCCACTTGGTGATCCTGTACAACAGTTGGAAAAGGTCTGATTGAAAACCAAGTCAGTCCAAAACAACGAAAATATACCTCAGCCTCGATTAATATATCAAATACTGATGATTATAAGCGGTGACAATGATTCGACCGGTCCAGACATTGACATGAATAAATATGATTAATTGCACCACATCTCCTTGAATTATGGATCAAATTTTAAGTTGGTCCTTCGGCTTCAAAGTGTTTCAATTGAATATTCAAACTGTAGGATCAATCTAATCAAGTCCTTCTGCTTTTATATTAAATGCCAACTTGAATTTGATGTATTTTAAAAAATATATTTATTTGTACATGTTTAAAATACAAATTGTTGACATTTATCATCAAATTTGATGATTTAACAAAAGGATAGAAATAAAATACTCCATATTTAGTTTTCTGATAAATAAAATAATACCTTAGTTTCAGAAATTATAATATAATTGGAAATTTTAAAAATTTAGGATTAATTTAGAATTTAATCATGAGCGTTCATATTTAGTGCATTAACATGAATTTGACAATTTTTCTCAATTTAGCCCCTAGATTTCTTTTGATCCACATTAATTTCTGAATTTTAGTATCATTTTGATAAATTGATACTCTAAGGTTGTGTACATTATTAAAGTGGTTAAAAATAGGTCAAAATCCAAGTTTAAGTGCTAACACAAATAAAAATAATATACAGAGACCAAATTGGAAAAAGTTACAAGCTGAAGGACTAAAAGTTGTTTTAGCCCTAATCAATAATAGGCATATACTCTTAAGATACCTATCTTGCCATAGGCGTAAATGAGAATCCAAAGGAGGGCGTTACTTGGCAGTTATTTCGAGTGAGCCAATAAGGAGCGCCAAAACGTGGAAAAAAACAAAAGAGGAGTGACACTAGCAATTCCTCTGCTTGCTTTCGAGGCCATGGAAATGGCAGCCTCTGCTCGAACCGTTGACGAAATTTTCAAAGATTACTCGGCTCGAAGAACCGCCGTCCTTCGTGCTTTGATTTTTGGTAGATCTTTCGTATTCTTTCATCTCTTCTGTGTTGCCTCTTTAACGCTCTTTTCTCCCCCTTTCTCTCAGATGTGGATCAATTTTATGGACTCTGCGATCCAGGTAATTACATATCTCCTCTATCTCAATCTCGTTTCGATTTTGTATGTTGATCTCTACCGATTTTCCGTAGTCTTACTGTTTGATTTCTGTTATAGTTGAATCTGATTCAAGTTCCTGAAATAAACTAATAACTATGTGTATGTAACTGTAGTAATAAAGTTGTATAGTTAGAAGTGAGTATTCGATTGAGTTAAATAAAAAAATTTAGTTAGTCGAGTCTTATTTTATTACTCAAATTTTATTTAGATGTGAGTATTTGATTGATTTGAGTCAAATTAATGAGTTGACGTGTTTTATTTTATAACTAATCTTTATTTGAAATTTTTCGAATCGAGTTGAGTTTTGGTTTAAATTTAATTGTAAATATTTATAATATTATGGTACTATATTATTCCAATTTAAACAATTTTCTGTAACCATATATATATTTATCTTCATATTTTTTTTATATGTGATACATATATATCATGCAGAGCTGAGCAACATGATTCAAATTTGAAAACTAATCAATTAATTACTAATATTTTTGAGTTATTCTAGTTATTCGAGTTCTATTTTATAATTCGACTTGAACTTGAAATTTTTCTGAGTCGAGTCGAATTTATGAAATTACGAGAGTCTAATTTTTTAATTGAATCGAAATTTTTTCCAAGTCAAATAAAAAAAATCTGATCTTTTCAAATCGTGTTTTGCTCGTTCTTAAATATAACTATGTATTTCATCTCACGGTAACTGTAAAGTTAGATACCTTGTTTACTTGTTAGAATTTGGTGTTCGTGTTTAAAAAAAAAAACTAAGAAGATGGTCCAATTGACTTGCACTTCTTACTAGTAAATTGTTGTTTCAACAGTTCAATAATTTATTTTGAAGGTATTAGTTAAAATCGGCACTTTATAATTTATATGCAGCAGGCTAGCAAAAATTAGTCCTTCAAATTAACGTATTTATCACTAATTAGACTTGCTCCTAAGATTTCGTAAAGCAAAAGATCAAATTTTGGCATTTAAAGCAACAAAATTCCTCGGTTTCTGTAAAATAGAGGAATAAAATTCATAACTAGAGCAAGTGAAGTTACTGGATATTCAAGTCCTCTGGTTTCTGTAATGAATTATTTTCCCTCAACAGACCACGGTTTATATAATATAACGTTCTCTTTGCCCTTGGTTTGGTTTAGAAAAAGAAAATTTATGCCTTTATGGACATCCGAATGAAAGCTGGGAAGTTACTCCGCCAGCAGAGGAAGTTCCACCCGAGCTGCCTGAGCCAGCGCTTGGCATCAATTTTGCTAGGGATGGAATGAACCGAAAAGACTGGTTGTCCTTGGTTGCAGTGCATAGTGATTCGTGGTTGATTTCTGTGGCTTTCTATCTTGCTGCTCGTCTTAACCGTAATGAAAGGTACCGCCTTCGTCTTCGGAAGGATTGTGTCGGGAAAATGATTTGACTTTTGCAGTTATAATGTCATTGAAATTCAAGTTGATTCATCAAGTTTTGAATTCTGGTAGAAATTTATAAACTTTAATCAGGGAGGGCTTCCTTGTCTGATGATGGTTCAGTCTCTAACTATTTTATGATGGTTCAGTCTCTAACTATTTTTGCTCAGCTGATTACTTTTCTGTCAATAAATATGCAATACACTCTCAATTATCATCATGACTTACTAATTTCAGTCTTTAGATTAGGCAAGACTGCAAAGCAATTACAGAAATAGTATGTTGTGGTTTTTGGCAGACTACAAACTTGATATGCATGAATGGATCTCATGCTATTTTTTTTCCATGTTCTTTGTGTTTATGGAATACAATTCATTTTTGTTTATCATGATTTTGCTTTACAGGAAAAGCCTATTTTGCATGATTAACGACCTGCCCACAGTTTCTGAGGAAGTAAGTGAAAGGAAGCCTGTTAAAGACAAACCAAGTATTGAAAGTGGGAGCAAATCTCAGGGCACCGCAAAGGTTAATCACTAAACTTTTTTATCATCATTGTTCGAGCCAGGAATTTGGGGTATGGTGAATGATTAATGCACAAATTTACAATGACGGAACTTTTCATAGCATGATTACAAGCCTAATATTCTCTACAAGAAAGATGGGATTTTCTCTTGATGCAGGGTGCTGATCATTTAGGGGGTGTTTGGATGGGGGAATGTGGGATTCTTATGGGAATGGAATCCACATTCCCCCGTTTGGTTAGGTCAGGAATTCCATTCCCGGTAATGAAAGATTACCAATAGTAGATTTTTTGGGGTATATTACCGGAAATGTCATTACCTTCATTTCCTTATGTATTGTTGGATTACCGGTGTTTTGGACTAAAATGCCCTTAAATTTTTATTTTTTAAAAAAAATATTATTCTTCTGTCGTTGAATGATAAAAATTCTACGAAGGTTAAATTACAAATTTTTCCTTAAATTATTTTAGATTTAAAAAAAAGTCTATAATTAAAATTTTATATGAAGTTCAGGGATTAAAATAAAATTTTACCCTTTCATTAAACTTTTTTTATATTTTTAATTTTGTAAAAAAATTATATAAATATTATGAATTTAAATTTTTTAAAGAAAAATATATAAATATTTTTCAACTTGTAATATTATACAAATATATAATAAAGACAATTTGGTCAAATATACATTTCAATAATCTTTTATTCATTTAACCAAACACGGTAATCTTACATTCCTGCTAAGCCAACCAAATACAAAATACAACATTCCCAGTAATCTTATTCCCTGGTAATCTTACATTCCCACTGGTAATCTTACATTCCGTGAACCAAACGCACTCTTAGTGTTTTGTATCTAATCGAGTTCTTCGTTTTGTAGAGATCAAACGATGGACAAGCGAAGAGCAATCCCAAGACCGCTGATGGGGATTATGAGGATGATGGAGACGAGCACGGTGAAACACAATGCGGCAGCTGCAGCGGAAACTACAGCGCGGATGAGTTTTGGATCGGGTGCGACGTTTGCGAGAGGTGGTTCCATGGAAAATGTGTTAAGATAACACCTGCTAAAGCCGAAAACATTGAGCGGTACAAATGCCCGTCTTGCAGGTAGTGATAGTGAGTGAAAATAGTAAGAACAGGACATGATTATATATATATATGTATCATCAAAATGTGTGTGATAATAGATGCTTTTAACGAGATGACTTCCTTGCTACTGATAACATTGTTTACTTATTCAACTGATGTATTTGAATTTGTGGATAACATTTTAATAGGGATGTGGTAGTATTAATATACGGTTAAGAAAATGCGTTATCGAAAATATTATTATTATTTTAACATTTTTTCGGTAAAGCGCTACCTAAAACATTATTTTTTTCTACCGAAAATGTTAATATTGGGCGCTACCTAAAATGTTTAACATTTCTAGTAAAAAACTACCTAAAACATTATTTTTTTTATTGAAAATATTAATATTGAGTTCTATCAAAAAATATTTAAAGAAAATAACATTTTTGATAAAAAAAAATATATTTTACGTAAGGCTTTATCAAAAATAATAAAACTATCGTATAATACAACTATATGTTTTCAGAGATATGGTTCCTTGTCTTTTCTTCATCCTTGAGGAATGAATACAATATATTCTGAAAAGGTAAACAGTGCCCATTTTATATTTTCAGAGTAATTGATGTGTTTTGAGTGGGAAAGTTTAAATAAAAAACATAATATTTTTCGTTAAGAAGAAAGTAATATTTTTAATTGAACTGAAAATATTAAAAGAAAGTTAATATTTTAGGTAAACATATCGAACACTATAAATCATTCTTCTTCCCTTTCTTTCTTCACCTACCTTTCTCGGTTTTGTTTCATTTCAACTGTAAGATCCTTATCCCCTCTTTTACTGGTTTCTGTTTGTAGTTCTGCTTCATTTCAACTGTAAGATCTCCATTTTTCCTTTTAAATCTTTTGTATTTGTTACCTGCTTGTTCTATTTGGTTATTTCTTTGTTTGTTTGTTCTTTTACTTCATTTATTTATTTTGCAACAGAGCTTGTTCTTCTTGAGTACTTGTTTTACTGTTGTTATTTGGTAGCTTTTGCATCCTTCTGTTTTGGGGATTTTCTGGGTATCATCGTTTTTGGTAATCTGTACGTTTCGGTTCACGATCCGCTTAGATAAATCACATTTGGGTCGGTGTTTTTTCCTTAGGGACTTGAAGTGTCAGCAGATATATTTTCATCTAATTTTCTCGTTTTATTTGTTCTTTTTATTAACTTAAAATATTCATAATCATATTGTTGTTTTTGTTTTTAGTTTTTAGCTTGCATTTTCCGCTTTAAACGTGAATGCTGATTCTTTTTCTGTAAGTGTATGAAGTTTTGAGATTATTTTTACGAACTATAATTTTGCTTTGATTCTGAATTTATAAATTTTACGAACGGTTGGTGGTTTAAAACTTAGTTTTGCAGTTACCTTTGTTTAAATCCGTTTGGTTACCCGTTTGGATTCCTTTTTCATAGTTCCTCATAGCTTCGGCTATAGATGATTACTTGAGGTCGTGTCCTTCTTTTAGATCCCATAGGGCGTATAGGGAGAGGGCTTGACAGAGTGGTGTCAAGGAGACTAGACTTAGAGTTTGTTCGTTGAATGTAGGCACATTAAATGCTAGGCTGCTGGAGCTGACCGGCATATTGAGTAATAGGAAAATAGATTTTGCATGTATTCAGGAGACTAGGTGGAAAGGGGCTTGCGCCAGAGAGTGTAATGGGTACAAGTTGTGGTATTCAGGCGTAGATAATGCTAGAAATGGGGTGGGTATCTTGGTATCCTCTAAGCTCAAGGAAAATGTAGTCGAAGTTTGTAGATACTGTGATATGATCATGATGATTAAGGTTATTATAGAAGAGAAAGTGGTGAATGTCCTTTCAGTGTACGCCCCACACGTTGGCCTAGGTGAGGGGGATAAGCGTTGCTTCTGGGATCAGTTAGATGATGTACTTAGGAGCATTCCGGAGGACCAAAGAGTTTTCATAGGGGGAGACTTCAATGGCCATATAGGTAGTGCAACCGACGGGTATGATCGTGTTCATGGGGGTTTCAGTTTTGGCAGTAGGAACGAGGAGGGGCGTACGTTGCTTGAATTTGCTACTGCACACTATATGGTGATCACTAACTCCTTCTTTAACAAGAGAGATGTGAACTTGATTACATTCCATAGCGGGGGACATTGTACCCAAATCGACTATATCCTGGTTCAAAATCGGGATCGATGGGCTTGCATTGACTGTAAGGTGTTCCCTGAAGAGGCATGTGCATCACAACATATATTGTTGGTTTTGGTGTTTCGCGTACGCCATGGGCGGAGCACTCATAGGAGGGCTAAACTTGGTAAACCTAGGATCCTTTGGAAGAACTTACATGGAGCGACAGCTGATGACTTTAGGAGTAAGGTTTTGTCTAATACAGATTTTGGAACTACAAACTCAAATAATGCAGATATGTTATGGAAAATTATGTTAAGTTCCATCAGAGAGGTGGGCAAAAACACCCTTGGGTTGTCAACAGGGAAGGTCAAGGAGCATAAAGAATCGTGGTGGTGGAACGACGAAGTCCAAGCTAAGGTGAAGACAAAGCAAACTTGCTTCAAGGAGTTTCTACAATGCAATGACAACAAATAAAGATCGAGAGCTAAACAAAGATACAAGGAATCAAAGCGGGAAGCCAAGAAAACGGTGGCTAAAGCAAAGGATAAGGCATACGAGGAAATGTACAAGAGATTAGACACCAAGGAAGGACAAAACGGCAACTTTATACTTGTAAAATCCTAGGAGAATAGGAAAAATGATCTAGGTAGTATTAGGTTATTAAGGACAATAATGGTGTTCTTTTAGTGAAAGATCATGATATTAACAGGGTTTAGGGTAGTTACTTCTTTGGCTTATTTAATGACGGTGTCTCTCCTTGTAGAGATAGTATCGTTGATGGGTCAGCCGACCATCATACTACGGCTAATGACTGACCTACAAGTAGGATTGGGTTTGAGGAAGTCAAAATGACTCTTAGAAAGATGGGGAGGGACAAAGTTATCAGTACAGATCAAATTCCTATCACTATGTGGTTGGCCCTAGGAGAAGAGGGAGTTAAGTGGTTGACCAACATCTTTAATATTATTTTAGAGAATGCCAAGATGCCAGAGGAGTGGAGAGAGTCTACGGTGATATCAATCTTTAAGAACAAAGGAGATCCCCAACGTTGTGGCAACTACAGAGGTATTAAACTACTCAGCCATACCATGAAGCTATGGGAAAGGGTGATAGAGGCTAGGTTGAGACAAGTTACTAGGGTTTCGGAAAACCAATTTGGCTTTATGCCAGGCAGGTCTACTACGGAGGGGATTCATCTACTTCGACGGCTTATAGAGAAATATAGGGAAAAATAGAGATCTTCACATGGAGTTCATTGACCTTGAGAAGACGTATGATAGTGTTCCCCGCGATACGATCTGGAAGACCTTGGAAACGAGACGGATCTCAACTGCTTATATCCGGGTGATTCGTGATATGTACTGTAGATCTACTACATACGTCAGGACTATAGTTGGCGACACCGAGGCATTCCCGATGGAAATCGGACTCCACCAGGGGTCGGCTCTTAGCCCTTATATCTTCGCCTTGATTATGAACGACATCTATTGTGCGACACCAGACAGTGTTCCATGGTGTATGCTTTTCGCTGACGACATTGTCCTAGTTGCTGAAACAAAAACTGAGCTGAATAGTAGACTAAAGACATAGTATTTATGTTCAAACTTCAGTGGGAACCAAAACGATGAAGATGTAGAAGTATACATAGAAGGGCACGTTCTCCCCTCAAAGGATTGTTTCAAGTACCTAAGTTCTATGATACATAAGGATGGGGGTGTAGATGATAACGTTACACACCATATAAAGGCGGGATGGCTAAAGTGGAGGGCTGCTACTGGAGTTTTGTGTGACAAGAATGTGCCTCAAAAACTTAAGAGAAAATTTTATAAAATGGAAATAAGACCAGCGCTGCTGTATGAATCAGAATGTTGGGCAATCAAGAAGGATCACGTAAGGAGGATGGAGGCCGTAGAAATGAGAACGCTTCGATAGGCATGTGGTAGGACTCTGTGGGACATGACACCAAACTCTGCTATTAGGATGTCCTTGGGGGTGGTGTCTGTATCCGAAAAATTGAGGGAGCGAAGACTACGGTGGTTTGGGCATGTCCTTAGGCGACAACCGTCGGATGCGGTTAGGAGGGTAGAGTCGATTACAGTCGACGGTGCCAAAAGGAGAGGACGACCAAGGTGGAAGTGGGAAGACTGCTTGAGATCTGATTTGAAGGATTTAGCCCTTACCGAGGACATGACCTCTGATATGAAAGTATGGAGACTTAAGACCAGGGTAGCCGATTAGTGCGGGTTCCATAGTGTGTAATATTTTTGTCTTCTTTTAATGTCTTTGTTGTAATTTCTATGACTTCTACTTTTTATACGTTTCTGTCATTGGAATTAATGAAGGCTTAGAACTAGGGTAGCGGATTAGTGTGGCTTTAGTTTAGGTTTTAACCCATTTGACTTTATTCCTTCTCGTAGCTTGTTATCGTTGACTTCTGTGTATCATTCTCTTCATGTTTCCGCTTTTTAATTTTAGTCGGGTTTTACTTTTCTGTCTATATGCAGGGATTTATTAGCAGGGATTACTTCCCATTACAGAAGCGCATATGAAGACTGTTTATGAAGATTGTTCAAATATGTATTTATTTATTTATTTATTTATTTATACATGCATTGCATTTTATCTTTATTTTTAATTTTCTGACTGCCGAAGGTCTTCCACGAAAGCTGCTCTCAACCATGCGTTGGGGGCAGCCTACTACCCTACCTCCCTCATACCCCATTGCATATGGGAATAGGGTTTTGTTGTTGTTAATATTTTAGGTTACGTTTAGTTAAAAATATTATTTTTTATTACATTTTTAGTTATATTCATTCTTCATCATTTTTTAACTTTAAATTAAATTGACACACAGTAAAATTACATGTTTTGGGTCCTACAACGATTTCAGGTGATATTACAAAACTCAAATTGATTTAAAAATTATTTTTTAAAATTTTAAATTATTTGAGTTGTTTTAGTTATTTGACTCAGTTTAAATTTTTGTTTTGCTTTTTGAATTTATCTATAGTTTAAAATTTTAAAATTCAAATAATCGAAAAAATAAAATTAAAATTAAAATGATGTGGTATTGATCTTTAACTAAATAATTTAACTCTTT